CTTGAAAAGTTACCGGTGCGGAGGACGGTTTGTAGGAGGGCCAGGAGGGTCCCGTCATCAGCACCGTCGACCTTGTCGGCCTCCGTCCTCCAGCGCTCCAGGAAATCCCGAAGGGTCTCATCCTTCTTCTGGCGTATTGTTAGGAGGTGGGAGAAGTGCTTCCTTGTGCGACGCCTCCCGGCAAACTGTGTCAGGAATCGCTGGGCGAGTTCTTGCCACGAATCAATACAGCCCTCGGGCAGCCTGTTGAACCATTCGTAAGCCGGCCCCTCTAAGGTGGAGAGGAACCAACGACACAAATATTCATCCGACGCCCCCACCATCATCATGTTGTTCTGGTACTTGCTGTAATGTTCCTGGGGGTCCGTTTTTCCGTTGTAGGGTTGTATATGTTGCCCTCGGTATTTTTCCGGGATCCGGGCCGCCAATACCCTTGGGGTAAATGGCGTCCGAGTCTGGAGCTGGATGACGGGTTCCCCGGAGCCCTCGGCCACCTTCTTCTGTAACTCCTCCATTTTGGCCATCATGGCCTCGTATTTGAGATCTGAATGAGGGGTGGAGGTGGTGGCGTGAGCTTTGTTGGACTCCATCTCGTCAAGCCGGCGTTGGAGGGCCGCAATAATCTCGTCCCTGGGATCCTTCGGGAGGGTCTCCGCCCCCTGCGAATGAACCCAGGCCGAGTGGGCCTGGTTGATTTGGTGCCGGGCATCATCGGCATGAAGGGGTGCCTTGCCTTTGTCCCGAGGGGGACGCTCCTCGTCTGCCCTCGAAACAGATCCCCCGCTTTCCTGGGGCCTTTGGAGTGCTTTCCCCCCAAGGCGGTCTTGGACCCCTCGGCGGTCTGGCCCTCCTCCGAGCCGGTTGAGGGCGGAAGTACGGGGCCTTTCCCTGTTGTCATTATGGCGGTCCCGGGATTGAACTTCCTGGGAGGACGTATCTTGGGCCACCACCCCTTCGTCGTTTCTCACCCGTGGGGTGGGATTTCCGAAGGGGTGTGGCAGAGGGGGAAGTATGATATTTTCCCCGATCTGAGGGTGAGCTGGAGCCAGGGTGCCGAAGGCACCCGGGTTCTGGGTGAGTGTCTGGATGAAGGCGGAGAGCGCCGATTGCACGTCGATGGTGAGAACCGGAGGGCTGACTTGGTCATCGCTCCGGTTTTTCTTCTTGGCCTCGATGCCGAGGCGGGCACCGGGGGCATTTTGTTGGATCTGAAGGCGTAGGTCGACAGCCGCCTGTTCCAGCCCAGCGATGACACCGCCCTCGGGAGCCCTGTGAGAGGCTTCGGGGGCGTTGACGTCGCTGAGGGCCAGGTTCTTGTCTTCTACGTTTTTTGAGTTGGCACGTGTTGTCCTCACCATTCTGATAGAGGGCTAGTGTTTTGCGTTTGGTCGAGGGGGAGGGTTTCTTACTCGATTGTTCAACCTCTCAACGAGAGCACCAAATGATGGATAGTCTACCCGGGGGTATATATCCGAAGGGTTATTGCGGGGAATAACTTAGAGAGAAGTCAGAGCAAGTAAACGTAGAGAGAGAGAGAATGTATTATAAATGTGGAGCGTTTTCATCGTGGTTACAAATGAGGAAATGGGGTGCTATTTATAGTAGCAATAAATGCCGGGCAGGGACACGTGTCAAGCGCTTATTGGCCGAGGGGTCACCTCAACTGGTTGGCGCTGGCAGCCACATGTGGCCGCATTTAATGCGGCTGTTGGATGGGACGTCTGTGCGGGGTACGGTGATCTGTACGCATGTGAGGCGGATATCTTGTCGAGTGAGATGCCTTCGGCTATAGAGCAGTAGCCGAGGGCTCTTCCACCCGATGGCACCCTGGTGCCGAGGGCTCACAATGCCGAGGGCTACTGTTTTCGCCGTTTTCTCCCAGTTTCTTAATTTGCTTGAGAAACCCGTCATGTGAGAATTTGGAGCCTTCGGTCAGGGGGCCGAAGGCACCCCTGGCGCGTAGTGCGGACTGCCTGGTACTCTGGGCGCTGTGATTTGGGCCTGTTGGGCCTTTTGGGCCTGTTGGGCCTTTGCTGGAGTAGTAGGAGTCTGTGGGCCGGGGGTTCCCGGGCCATATACTCCATGAGGTTGCTTTCCTCAAACTCTTAATTTTCACCAAGCACTACAATCTAACAATTATTTGAATATTTCTCCTAACAACACATTTTTGTTTTTGTTACTATTTGATACGAATCTTATCTTATTAATATGCTTATTATAGTCATTTTTGCTTTATTTCCCCCAACAATCCAAGCTACACATATTTTATTCAGATAGTTTATTTATCAATTTCTAACAGATTATGTATACAAATAAGTTAATCAAACTACTCATGCATTCACTCAAACTAATCTAATGAAATAATATGCCTAAAATGTTCTTGGGCATTTACACGGACGCGAGTTAAAGTAGTATTAAACTAAATCGTAATTTGGACGGGAGTTAAAGTAATAGAGGCAAGGGTCAGTTTGGTCCTCGAAGTTGCATAAAAGGGGTCAAATAAGTCCTTATAACGTCTTTACTGTCCAGCCATTGTCATTTGGGGCAGTTCCAGGTGGACTTTTGTGATGAAATTTTTTGAGCATCTTACTCATTAAGTCTAGTTTACTCATACCAAATTTCAGCCATAACTTAAATCGGGAAGGCATTCAAATGAAGTCTTGAAAATAACTGCGTTTTTTACTGCGCAATTATCTTCAAGACTTCATTTAAATGCCTTCCCGATTTAAGTTTTATCTGAAATTTGGTATGAGTAAACTAGATTTAATGAATAAGATGCTCAAAAAAGTTTATCAAAAAAATCCACTGGGAACCACCCCAAATGACGACTCCCGGATAGTAAGGACGTTATAAGGACTTATTTGACCCCTTTTATGCAACTTCGAGTACCAAACTGACCCTTACCTCTAATGTAATATGTATATTAGACTAATGTATATATATAAATAAATATTAACGGGTCAGGTCCTAAACGGGTCGGAACTACATATACCATACCCGACCGATTAAATAATGGGTCCGGATCCGGGTCCGGGTAACAGAATTAAATGTAGACCCGTACCCATTAAAAAAAGACGAACCCGGGTCGAGTTTGGGTCTGGACCCGACCCATTGACAGGTCTTATTGCAGCCCACATAACATTTTCTTTTGAAGGAAAAAATGTTTATATTAATATCATTACAATTCAGGTCATTACAATAAATTCCAAGAGACCAACACTGACAATACCTATCCATAATGAACTAGCACTATCAATCTTACGGCTATACTTAGAAACGATCACCCCTAAAAGAGTAATATGAATCGCTAACCACCAAACGGGTGTGACACAGCAATCGCTGGCCATATAAATCCTTCTAACGACATAATATCTAGCAGAATTGTCAATCTTTATTGTGAACCTAAAACTAAAGCCATCAACAAAAAACAAAGCAACATAAACAAGACTTAACGCAGAAGTAAGACCATAAAAATTTGACAAATACTTCAAGCTCATTCGTGTCAATATTCTTGAAGTATCATCTTCCAAACCTAGCACTTCGGTCGCTCTAGGGCGGCTGTTCAAGAGGGTGAGGGGGGACATGCTGCAAATATGTCTTCTCCCTTGCTAAAAAATCGACCCAAAACTGGCTATTTTGTTCTAAAAGGAGTAAAATTAGGGGTTGTTTACTTTTTTCATTAAGTTCTGAATAGATTAAGATGTCTGTCTGCAGTAAGTTGTCTGGGTGGATTAAGTGACAGTAAGATAACAAACTGTTTACTAAGTGTGTTGAATGAGAAGTCTGAATCACGTCAAATGACCAAATAACCCTTCCGTCTGGAATAAATGTTGAATGTATTTTATCTGTTTACTTTCTTTATTCTGAAAAATAACCTAAAGATAGACATTTTACTAGTTATATATGAAATATGAATTACTTGTCCATAGTGCGTGAATGGTCTAAAAGCTGCAGCAAGAACAGAAATGACCACGGTGCTCATCAATGCCAGTCTGCCAATCCCCTTAAACCACCCACCCCTGCTATAGTGCCTCAAAAAATAGACAAAGTAAATGAGGCCAGCCACCACAAATAAATGTTTAAAGCATCGCAAATTGGAACTTCAGATCTGGAATGTTTGGTTGCCATTGGATGTTCATGGCATTGCTTCCGGATGTTCATGGCATTTAATCAGAAGGGAAAGAGGGTTGAAAAAGAGATGAGGATATATAGGGATGTCTGAATGGTAATGAGTGTTGAATTTGAACTGAATCGATAAGTCAAATATTGTCCGAGCGAATAAGTCATGTTTTACATTAAATCCTAAGTAAACACAAATATATAACTGTCCGAATAAGTCATAGGGTCTGTTTGGATAATAGCGGATTCATGAAACCGCTGTTTTTTTTTAACTTGAAACCGCTGCTTTTAGCAGCGGGTGGGTGCGGATCCGCCGATAAACAAACAACACCATAGTTTCCATTCAACCCACTAAGTCAAAAGTAAAGAGCCCCTTACTCATATATGAAAAAAAGAATTATATTCTTTTTATTTTCAAAATAGGAGTAAATTATGTTCTACTACTTTCTTATTCTATTTGTTCCTGTAATCCCCAATAAGACTTAATTTAGATAAAATAAAGTTTTATTTATAATAGGCACGCAATAATAACGAAAATGTTTTAAATTTTTTAATATAATCAAAAAACTAAAATAAAATAAAATAAAAATAAAAATAAAATATTTAAAAATTAAATAAGTAAATAAATGCAAAATTATAAAATAAATAAAATACCTAAAAAATATTCAAAAAATGTAGGCCTCTATCCCTGCATCTTCGACCTCCCAGCACTGTCACCTGGTTCACCTCCGGTCGCTGGAAATAATGTCATCTTATGTAAGAAATGTTAATTTTTCTAAAAATGTTATGAAAATGACATTTTTAGTCTTTGAAAATGTCTATTTTTATTTTGAAAACTGCCATCACCTTCACATTTTTTGATAAATTCATTTTTTTTCGATCGGAGGTGGCCAAGGTGATTGAGGCCTATATACTTTTTTATCCTCATCTTCTCCAGTTCAATCCATTCTCTCTTTGTTACAGCTATAGCCGTTCCTCAGAATTGAACACCCAAGAAACCCTAAACAGATGAAACAGAGCAATGAGCTCAATCTCGCCAAAACCTTCAACCCTCCTCCCCTCCCTCGTCTCTGGCCAAGTACCTCCTCTCCCCTACCTTCTTCACCTCCTCTCTTCTCTCGTCTCCGACAATAAGTTTTCCGATGCCAAATCCCTCCTCCTCAATTTCATCCCTTCCGATCACCCCACAAACGAGCTCCACACCCACCTTCTCCACCCGAACCGCGCGCTTCCTAAGCCCTCCAAGGCTCTGCTGGACACCGCAATCGGTGCTTACTGCCAATGCCGCCGCCCGCATCTCGCTGTTCAGCTTTTCAAAAAAATGAAGCGACACCGTTTGCGCCCTAAGCTGCTCACCCTCAACACTATCCTCAATTCCCTGGTGAAGTACCCTTCTGCCCACAATGTGCGTATGTGTAAAGAATTGCTTAATGATGCACTTGGGTTGGGTTTAGCTCCAAATACCATGACTTTTAACATTTTAATCAACGGGCATTGTGTAGAGAACAAGTGTAACGATGCGATTAAATTGTTAGATAAGATGGATGAGTTCGGGTGTAGAGCAGATAATGTGAGCTATAATACTGTTTTAGACGCACTGTGCAAGAAGGGTAGGCTAAGAGAGGTCCGTGGTTTGCTCTTGCATATGAAGAATAAAGGGCTCCTTCCAAACAAGAACACTTACAACATTTTGGTGAGCGGTTATTGTAGAGCTGGTTGTATTAAGGAAGCTGCTAAGGTTGTTGAACTGATGACAAGGAGCAATACAATGCCTGATGTTTGGACCTATAACATGTTGATTAATGGTTTCTGTAGCTCAGGGAAGATTTTGGAGGCATTTCGACTTCGGGAGGAAATGACTGGCTTGAAGCTGTTACCTGATGTGGTAACTTATAATACACTAATTAATGGTTGTTTTGAAGCTGGGATGAGTTCTGAAGCCTTTGATTTACTGGAAGAAGTCAAGAAAAATGGGGTAAGCCCCAACAAAGTTACCTATAACATATTAATCAAATGGTATTGCAAGGAAGGGAGATTAAATGATGCTATAGACACTGCTCATAGAATGGAGGAGGGTGGGTTTCACCCAGATTGTGTTTCATACAATACTTTGATTAGTGCATTTTGTAAAAAAGGGGATCTTGCCGAGGCTTTTAAAATAATAAACAAAATTGGAGAAAAGGGTTTGAAAATGGAGACAGTGACTCTTAATACGGTCTTGAACGCACTATGCCAGGAAGCGAAGCTTAACGAGGCTTATGAGTTGCTTACTAGTGCCACTAAATGTGGTTATATCATTGATGAGGTGAGCTATGGAAGTCTGATTGTCGCCTACTTCAAGAATGCAAATGTTGAAAATGCTCTTAAGCTTTGGGATGAGATGAAAGAAAAGGATATATTTCCAAGTTTAGTCACTTACAACTCTCTAATCTCAGGCCTATGCAAATCAGGTAAAACTGAGGAAGCCATCACCAAATTCAATGAACTTTTGGAGCAGGGTATAGTGCCTGATGAGATTACGTACAACACTATCATCCATGGGTATTGTTGGGAAGGAAATGTTAGGAGAGCATTTCAATTTAGCAACAAAATGGTTGAGGATTCATTCAAACCAGACATGTATACATGCAACATTCTCCTTCTGGGACTTTGTAGGGAAGGAATGATTGAAAAGGCCATTAATCTCTTCAACACATGGATTGATAAAGGGAAACGGCTTGATTCTGTAACTTACAACACTCTTATAAGGGCCTTATGTAAGGATGGAAGGCTTGATTATGCTCTCCACCTTGTTTCTGAAATGGAAGTGAAGAAACTTGGGCCGGATAGTTACACTTGTAATGCCGTTGTTAGAGCACTTGGTGATAGTGGAAGGGTAAGGGAAGCAGAAGAGTTCATGTCAAAATATAATGAGACGAGAGTTTCATTTAAAGAATCTGTTACAGTAAAAAGTGGGGAAGAAGACATAAAGGGTGAATGTTCAACAGAACAGGAAGCTAGTCATATTGCTGATTCAGAAGAGATTAATGAGCTTTGTGCTCAAGGGAGATATAAGGATGCAATGCGTATCTTTGGACAACTTACCAAGAGAGGTTCTTTTGTACAAAAGTCAACATATATTACATTAATGTATGAACTTGTCAAGAGGAGAAAAGGTATCTCCAATGCCAGAAGATTTTGATATACTCACTCTTTGCTCCAACTCCTTGAAGAGAATATTTGTGTGTTCTGAATTATTTCAAGAAACTGTGCAAATTGATACAGGTACATCTGTTATGTGCTCAGTAGATGTACAAGTTATACAATTTATAAATTACTTGCCAATTAATACAAGTCGTTCATGTTGACCTGTCTTAAAACATTTGAAGACTTTTTGCCCTTTGTGTTTGTCTCAGACTCAGATATGTGCCCCTGAAAAATATCATCAACTAAATGTTGACGAGTGATAGCAAGAACAAGTGAACAACATGGCAGAGCCGATAGTTCGATTGCTCAAAACAATCGGGATTGAGTGGATTGATGTAAAGCATGCACTGTTTCTGATATCTGAACAACATAGTAGATTTTATGTCTAGGGTAGGAAAAGATGATAATACATTTCACTGCACTCTGCCAGTGTTGCATGGATTCCGGTGGGTAATTCTTGTTGTACACAAAACTTGTATACAAATTGTACGCTGCCTGTGTACACAGGCATTTTGGTATAAAATTCTGCCCTTTTTCAAATGAATTGTCTATGTGCATAGGCAACTAGGGGATTATGTACAATTTGTGTACTAATTATGTGTACAAATGTAATTTCCTTTCCGGTTTTACCTTATCTTCCTTTGCCCAATCTTTTTTGGGTAATTATTATGCTTATTTAGCTTTCATTTTGTCTCTAACTAGTAATATCTTTCTTTTTATAAAAAGTAAGATCTTTTGCATGAGAATATGTGTTCTGTGACCCATCTGTGTATCTGTAAATATTGATGTGTTAAGTGAATATATATGGAAACTAGAAGCCTATGAGTTGCAGGTTTTAAGTCAATACTTATTAGCCCATTACCCGCCTCACCGTAACCTAATTAGCTAGTATGTTTTACATATTTCTATTTGCGTGAAGCCGTTACAATTTGAATTTACATAAAATGTATGAAAAATTCTATTAAATTACTCATTAAAATGTGGTGGACAAAAATATTATTTCCTTCGTCCTGCTAAGATTGTCTCATATTGATGTGTCATCTCTCATTTCCCGTCCGTCTCATTAAGATTGTCTCATACCAAATTTGGTAAAATTTGTGTGGTTCTAAAGCTTTCTTACTTTATCAATTTAATACTCCCTCCGTCCCAAAAAGGTTGGCCAAATTTCCTTTTTGTGGATGTCCCAAAAAGATTTGCCATTTCCATTTAAAGTAAGGAATATGTGGCTAAAATTAATTCTCTCTCCTCTGCACAAATTTCATCCACACAGTTTTTACTTTATTAATCCACGTGAAAGTCAACTTTGGCCAACCTTGGAGTATCAATCACATAAACCCACTTTTCTTAATAATCATATTATCTGCTAATGTCTCAATATTATCTGCTAATATCAATCACATAAACCCACTTAGTAACTATTAGTGACTATAATTGTAGTCAAATTTACTTCATAGTAATTACATGTAAGTTACTAAGTTGTAAACTTTTATCACAATTATAGTCACTAATATTTAGTGAGTAATATTTTTGTCCATGACTTTTTATTAGTAATAGTTAAGGAAAATCCCCAAAAGTATCTCTAAATAAGTATTAAAAACGCAATATAATAAATCAAAGCTGCTATATATTGAAAAATGTCAAAATTTAAGAACAATACCTTTATATTTGTGAAAATATATAATCATGGTGCTAATATAACTCTTTATATAAAGTTTGGGGTATATATATTACATGTGCAAGTTTGGGGTACTTATCTCACACTCCTTCAAAGTTTGGGATATTAAAGTTTACATATTATAAATAAAAACTGATATATAAATAATAGATTAAGAGAGTTAACTTGACAGCTGAATGAGAACCTTGTTTTTAGATGGAGTACAACGCATGATGTGATAGAACCGGTTCCTGTACTTCTGGCAGTGATAGAAAATACAAGAACACCTATTTCTTGCGTAGTGTTAGCTAAAATTAGATTGTTAAGTAGCTACTCACTCTATCCCTAAAGAAGTCATACACTTTTCTTTTTGGTTTGTCCCAAAGTTCTCACCCATTTCCTTTTAAAGAAGCATTATGTGTTTCATGGTATATCTCTATTTTTCTCCCCTTTAAATATAATTCAACCACATGGTTTTCATTATCTTGACCACCATGCCCGGTCAAATGAGGGGTTTATTTAGAGACTGAGGGAGTATTCACTTATTATCATCACTCATTCAGTATCAGTCACACTGGATTCTTACATATTGTGTTTGGCCTCTATTATAGTTCGTTAAAATCAGAGATGCTGTTGTCGGTGAACTTATAGTTTATAGTTGAGAGATCTAGGATATGACAGATATTAGGTTTGCTTTTATCCAAATACTGGATCTTACCAAGAGACGGCAATTTGAACTTGTAAGCTAAATACTTACCGAAGTCAATAAATCAATTAAAGATGAGATGCTAACACTAGTAGAAGTTTATTTGGCTAATACATTTGAAGCCTGTCAAAGATGTGTTGCTAGAAGCCTAGATCTAGCCCTCATTTATTGTTCTTAAAATTGCATCATTTTGAGAATAAAACAATTCTAATAGTCTTGCCTTGGGAAAATGTTATTATTGTCAGGCTATTGCGGTGGGTTATGCTATCATGACTACTAGATCACTTCACCTAAATTGGAAATTGAGAGCTCTGTGCGTTTTGCCTATGTTTCTATTACCCGGGTTATCTTTCGCGAAATATACGGCACTTGGAAGCTTCAAAAGGATTTGTAAGAAATTATTTATGTTATCTAACTGTGTAAAGTATGTTATCTTATGCGTCTTTTCTTTTTCTACTTTCTTTGTGATAAAAAAATCACACTGATTCCTGAAACATTGTATAAAGCATGTCACTCACTATTATGTGTCTTTGAATGAGTTTTTTGAGATGGTTTTGACTCCCAAAGTGCAATTTTAAATAAAATGCTCTCTTGTCATTTGCTTAGGTGTGGAGCGCATGGGTGAAACTAAAAACGCTGATACACAAAAGCTACAATTGTAGCTTCTAGATGTGAGATTATGTGTTTTGTATGGAGTAGTTTTTTGTATTTGAGACTAAAAGAGAACTTAAGTTATTTTATATCTTCATTAAAAGCCATGCTAAAAGCAAATAGTTCATATGATGTGGGTCAGGGGAGTACTAATCCATGCAATTCTGAATAAGATTTTTGATAGTGCCTTTTGAAAGATGATAGGTGATGCATATTTAATATTCAGTTTGCATTTTTATTCCTTTGAATCTGGTAATAGCATCTCCACCAAATTGGTTTAGTTTGATTCGTGAAATTTAATGTAGTAAATTTTACGCATCCTGCAGTTAATTCTACTACATTGGGTTTTGTTGATTACTCCCTCTATCCCATTTCAAAGTCTCTTTTGCAGTTTTCAATCATTGACTAATGATAAAGTCAACTCTTTCCATATTAATAATTAAAAGATATATATACCAAAGCTACACAACAAGTTGATTGAGTCGCAAAAACTAAATTAAAAAACGATAAAGATTTATTAAATAGAATTGGAGACTAGAAGAGAGTTAACGTCAAAGTGCTATGTGTCATGTAGAAAGACTTCTTGATTATCATGTAGACACACTCACATACATATATTCTTGATATCTAAGAAAATTTTGTTGTTCTTGATTATCAAGTCTCCCTGACTATATCAGTGTGTGTGTGTGGTAAGTTTAGCAAGGAAAAGCATCTTAATTAGCGATTTGACATCACATTTAATTGCCTTATTTCTTTGTGGTTTGCTTTTGTTGCATAAAAAGTTGTCATTTGTCTCACCGTTAAAAGCTTATGCCTTGTATTCAATGTTTTAAGGTGACAACAAGGATCAGAAAACCTTGCAAAGGCTCCGGGGACTGAAAAGAAAGCAAAGATTGATGAACTCAAGGAGAGGACAAATTATTACACTACAACAACTCATTCAGGTAAAGGAACTTAAGGGCAACTGGAATGTTACCTTTTTTTAAATCTTTTTGGATATCCAAACAGATTGAAACTGCAATGTTACAGACACTACATCATTGTTTACCTGGATAGACGCATTGTTTAGTCGTGAAATTTAGTCATTTTTTTCTTTAGTTTATTTATATTTTGCAGCTTCATGAATAAAATAAGTGGGTGATCTTTGACATGTAAGATCACGTTCAGTTTTTTTAATATATAGCATTATGTGATTTTTTATTTGGCTTCACCTGGATGGCTGGATACATTGAACTCATGCCCCGCAAATGCTGTTTAAGCATTAGTTGGCAGTGTAGGGCCTAGCACCAGGTCTCAGAGTAATTAGGGTTAGCTGCAATCTAGGTAGAACTAAGGTGGGGATGAACTAGAAAAAAACTAGGTTCCGTAGGACTGTAGGAGAGCCTAATGCCTATAAGCCTATCCGGGACTAATTGGGATTACAACAACAACATCCAAGCCTTAATCCCAAAAGATTTTGGGGGCGGCTAACATGAATCAATCCATGATATTGATGCTAAAAAGAGAAAACAGAAAAAAGAAGAAAAAAACTATTGGGATTAGTTGTGGTTTTTAGGACAGTAGGTCAGTCCATGGAGTGGCCGTGTATGATTTGCTGCTCCCAGTGTATTAGTTATTTGCTTCTTGTTAGCAGCAGTGAACTGCACATCCTTGACAGCATTATTTACTGCTTTATGAACTGATATCACTTGCGGTCCCATGAATATGTGATACCTTGAGACTGTCGTGAGATTAATATACTTTCTTTCCTGATGATAAATTTAAACGTGAACACACTACTCCTTTCATAAAAAAGATCTCAACATTTAATATGCCAAGTTTTTCTTTTTCTACTAACTTGATCAGTGCTTGATGACATCATGATGTGCAGAAGTATGATCCTGACCCTGCTGCTCAGGTTGCAGCTGCCACCGTGCTCGCTTCCAAGCTTAGCGCAGATACTGGGTTGAAGGTGTTTGTGGGGAATGAGTCCCAACGTAATTCCCCTCCTACTGGTGGGAAGAGTAGTGATGTTGAGCTTGCTAATTCCACTGGACTTCGTAACCGAAAGCAACCGGCAAGCAGATCAACTGTCTCTGAAAGAACAGCCAAAATAACAGTGCACCAGTCTCAGGAAGAACAAAAAATGCTAGACGGTTCTGATATGGTCGAGCATCATCCACTGGTGGTTGAGCATTACAACCTAATTGGTCCAACCGCACAAAATGGAGGGTGACTTTCACGCATTGCGGCACTGCTAGTGGGCGAGGATCCAACACAGTCTTATGCACTTATTTGTGGCAACTGTCACATGCACAATGGTATGACACCTCCTCCCACCCCCGGTCATAGAGATTGATTTTGTGTGTGGATGATCTTCATCACCACAACAAAAGGATTACTCTCTTTGTCCCTATTTAGTTGACGTTTTACAAAAGTGCACATACATAAGTAGTATCACAAAAATGTATTTCTATCCTAGCAGTTCAATGTTAAATGCTTCTTATACCATTTCAAGGCAAAATATTATATGGGAAAAGTCAATAAGGGCAAAATCAAGAGATGGATACAAGATATGCATTGAATTCTTAATAGTTGAAACGACAATTATACAATAACCATGGTTGTCATGGCGCATGGCGCAACCCATGGCGCACACGTCATTTTCCATGGCGATGGCGATGGCGCAAATATGGCGTCGCCACGTGACAAAAAAAAATAAATCAAAACGAATAATAGTTAAAGTTTACCCAAGTTTACCCAACCACTAAAACATGATAAAATAGTTCAAAGTACTTCCAAAAAACATAATATTCAAAAAAAAGTTTCTGTCTTGCAAAAATAGTAGTTAGGATTTAGGCTTGTTAGCTTGTTTTTGTTTGATGATTATGGCATAATCATCATCAATCATCAGACTCTTCATCATCTTCGTCTGAATCTGATAGCAATGGCACACCATCCTCATTCATTTCATCCTCGGAGGGATCTGCAACCTCGTCCGTTTCCTCCATTTCCTCCGCCTCCTCTTTCTCCTCTTCGTCGTGCAGCTGAAGTGTTGATGCCCTTGATGTTGTTGCTCTTGTGTTGTGATTTGCTTCGTTAACACCAACAACTTCTTCCACTACATCCCAGTTTTCCATTTCATTTTGCTCAGCAGCTTCATCAATCCATTCATTGCAATCGTCAATGTCATCCAAACATACTTTCATTTTTTTGAAAGCTGGATCTTGAAGACGTTGATTCTGCCGAATGTATACCAAATCATTCATTTTTTTGGCAGCAACCTTGTCCTTTTCTTGCTTTGAACCTAAAACAAGTAGATAACAAATCAACTACGGATAACTTAAATAGTTGAATTAAATATGAAAGGCAGATTTATGAACTTACATTTTCAAAAGCACTCCAGTTTCGTTCACATCCAGAAGCACTGCAAGTTAAACTAAGGATCCGAACAGCAAGATGTTGCAATGTAGGAGACGAGGAGCCATTTGAAAGCCACCAGTCAACTATATTTAAAAATTCCAACCAAATGCTAATTAATAATGTAGAAAACAATACTCAGATTTCAGGATTTAAAATTTCAGCTTTCCATTCCAATCTTGCAGTCAATTACAGGCTACAGCAAGTGCTAGCCATCATTTAACACTTAGTCACTCACATTTGGTACTTAAAATAATTTACTAATCAAGTAATCATACATTCATGCTTAAAATATTCAGATTTAAGCTTTTCAGATTCCATTATCCAGACAGTAGGTTGTAGGATAGTAGGTTGCAGTTTAGGACTTTCCAGTTTCCAGGTTGCAGTTTAAATCCAGTATCTATAAACCTACAAAATTAGTTCTAGCAGAAAGTTAATTAAAATACTTAAATAAGAAAGAGAAGACAGATTACAGTTTGCATACCCGGTGGTTGTTTGTCCCTATTGTTCATTGCCATTTTAGTTCTGAAACTTCCTCTACCATTTGTATAGTTTGATATCTCAGTTGAGAACTCTACACTCTCTCCAATGCTAGTGGGCAACATCTTCTCCACACACTTTATAAAGCCATCACATACTTCTTCATCTCCGAGGATTCGCCGTGAATTAGGGTAGAAGAATTGAGGATTGAGATAATACCCCGCTGCATGTAATGGAGAATGCAGGTTCTCATTCCAACACTTATCTATTATCTTCCAAAGAGGCATGTATTTCTCTTCTTTACCTCCCAATGTGTTTTTTATTCCCAATTTTGCTCTCTCCATAGCCTCATAAATAAAGCCCATTGCAGGCAACTCTCCATCCGTAATTCTCAATACCTTCACTACTGGCAATGAAATCTTCATAACATAGGCAACACTCCTCCAAAAGCTTTGACGATAAATTGACTCAAAACAAGATTGACCTTCCGTAGTTTTTGCAAACTAACTTTGATACCATTTCGGTGAAGCAAACATCTGCCTCAATGCCTGTTTCTGCGTGAGAAGACTTTGAAGAGTCAGAAAGTTAGTGGCAAACCGTGTGGCAGCTGGTCTAACTAACTCTCTACCCTTGGTAAATTCTTTCATTAAGTCATGAATAAGGGTATGGCTGTAGATGTAGGTAGTAATCCCTTGTGCCGTCTTCACAGTTCTTCTAACTATCGGCATCTTCTTTGAAAAGTCTTCTAGAACAAGGTCAAGACAATGAGTTGCACACCCCGTCGTGAAGATATGTGGATATCTTTGTTCTATCTTCCTCTTCGCTAATCCATAATTTTTAGCATTGTCGGTTACAACTTGTATGACACTTTGAGGACCTATTTCTTTTATCCACTCATCGAAAAGCTTGAAAAGTGCTTCCCCGGTCTTCTTGTAAGATGAAGCATCTACGGCTTTCATAAACACCGTTCCTTTGCTAGAATTCACGCAAAAGTTCACTAGAGTTCTATGCCGTTTATCCTGCCACCCATCTGACATAATAGTGCAGCCATCTAATTCCCATAATTTTTTGTGCTCACTAACCACAAGATCTGTTTTTGCGACCTCTTTTCGCAAGAACGTCTCTCTCACTTCATGATACGTTGGTGCTTTAAACCCAGCTCCAAACCTGCCAATCTTTTCTAGTGTTTCTTTCCACAAAGGGTCACGAGCTACATTAAAGGCGATGCAGTTCCTGTACATCCACAAACAAAGGCTTTGAGCATACTCATCCCTCTCTTTTTTCTTCATGTGTGATGGGATTGTTGTTTGCGTCAATGCCTCCTTCTTACGTTTTTTTTGTTGGATATACGAAATTATCCATAGGCCCAGTCACACCACCTCCCTCTGCATTTGACTGAGAACCAGTTATCTCAACATCATCATCTGATTCATCTCCAATCACCCTATTTGCACTTGACCCACCAGACTGTTGTACTGTGTATGTACTTCGAAAGGTTTGTTCACACACATTTTTTTCTAAGTTAGCAGCAGATTCTTTCAAGACTAACGCCTGCAGTGCAGCCTTCTTATCAGCGGGAATGCGTTCACACTGTCTTGTGTTGCGGTGCTTCCCGGTCAAGTGTTGTTTAAACCTTGTAATTCCACCTTTCGTCACGTGCCCACAGTAGTTGCAGCGCAATTCATTGTTGTTGTTTTCTTTCACTTTCTGACAGAGCTCCTTAGCAAAGGCAACAGACATCCTTTGCTCTGCCTCTTCGGTTACCTTTATAATAACAATTAAGAAAAAAAATTCAATGAGCATCATGTAAAGTAAATTAAAATAAAAATGATCAATGAGCATCAACTACTGTAAAAATTTCAATGAGCATCAACTACTGTAAAGTTCAGTTTAAACTTTAAACACAAAATATAAAGTTTAAACTTTAAACACATTCATAAACACTTTATCTTTAAGTTTAAACTTTACATAAATTATATACCATAGAAACTCTCTGTTTTAGTTAAACCATGCACATTTAAGTTTAGACCATTCACAGTAAAGTTTAGACTTTCATAAACAGTCTAAATTAACTTATAAAAGTGTATCAATTTATCAGTTTAAATACTTTGAGTTCTAAAGTAAAAACTTCATTTTTCAATGCTATAACTCCTATAAGTATTAAAGTAAAAACTTCATTTTACAAATCCTATAACTCATATAAAGTTTTGGATAAACTGTAACTTATAAACTGAACTTTTATTCATTAATACACAGCATTAAAGAGGTTGTAGTACCTTATGTAGTTGGAAGAAGTCAACGACAGTCCGTCCCCTTTGTCGTTTGCCTTTCTCGGTTGTCGCAGAGCTTTTTTGTTGTCGCAGTAGCTTTAACTTCTCATCACGTGTTCACTTTGTTGTGTTTATTTATTTTTAGTTAGGGTTGTTGTTAGTATTATGGGCTAAAATAGTAAGTTTTGTTAGAGTTTTATTGTTGTTATGGGCTAAAATAGATTGTTATGGCCCAAACCTAAACAACTTACAGCTCAAAAACGGACCCATTTTTTAAAAAAGCATTAGTGTCGCCATGGCTAAGGCGCAGGAATGGCGAAGGCGCAGGAATGGCGACGCCATGTGTATACACCTCGCCACCAGCCCTTTTCATAGCGCATCTGGGATTTCGCGCCTCATGGCGCATGGCGCGCGCGCCATTCTGCGCCATTGACTACCATGACAATAATATCCAATCCTTATTCCCAAAAGAGTATGAGGTCGGCTAACATGAAGCGACATGTGATATGGAAGTTAAAAACAAAAAATAGAGAAAGATGGGGACAAATAGTAAAAGATGAATCCTCCATGCGAATGTTTTCCCTCTACGTCGTTCTCTCCAAAGTCATCTAACCCAAATAGTATCATATCATTCATGACCACCGTAATTCATGTCTGGCTAGGTTCCCCCTCCCTCCTCTCCCCACCATTCAATTCGTCTAACAGGTGCATCACTTAGTCTTAAAACTACAATCTTGGGATATTGTTTTTGGCTCCATCATTATCGTTACCCCAGTGTCGCAAAGGCTCCCACCTATAGTGGGGTAAGGGGGGGGGGGTCGGATGTACGCAGTCTTACTCCTGTACTAAAGTACAGAGAGACGGTTTCCGGATGACCCATAATGAAAATCGCGTCAAAAATTGTATGGACTGACTGTTGTTTCATAACAAAGAAGCGCAGACAGTTTAGTGAGTTCATTTGCTTTATTCCATCATATTCCCAAGCCAAAAAATAATGAGTTTTTGGCTCTATTGCAAATGATGGAATTGGCTAAATGTCTAAAACCACAATTAATTTGGGAAGGAGGGAGTAACAAATGAAAAGATTGGTTATTTAACTTATGCAGGGCTTGCTAGGAAAGAGGACTTCCCCTACATCACTTACTACTGCCCTCACTGTAATGCCTTGAATAGGCACAAACAAGTAGAAGATTGCTCCTCTGGCTCGAGTTCACCAAGTCTAAGCTCTTCTGTGGTGACCGATGCTGAGGTGATTAAAAATGCTGGTGCTTCTCCCGTTGCAGAGAATAACATCCCTGCCGGTGGGACTTGGGAGTCCGGCTGGCCCTTCTGAGGCAGAAGGGCACGCAATTTCTAATGTTCCCAGTACTTGATTTGTGCCCTTTAATTGGCATACTTTGCTGCCTTATTGTGTGACATACTCCATCCGTCCCACTGGACTTTGCCATCTTTCCTTTTTTGATTGTCCCAAAAAATTTTGTCACTTTCCCATTAAAGTAATTATTTTGTGGTTTTACTCATTTCCCTCTCCTCTGCACAAACTTAAACCACACAATTTTTACTATTCTTATTTCTCACCTAACTTAAGGAGTGCAAAGTCCATTGGGACGGAGGTAATACAAATATAGCGGGTTTCCTTGCACTTTTGTTTTTATTTTACAGTTTTTTAACTTGTGAAAATGTTGTACTGTACCAAATGCTATATTTCACAAATGGGTCCTGTCTCTTAGGGGCTGCACAAATTCTTATTGCATAAATTCTTAAAAATCATATTACCTACCAATGTCTCAATGTTAGTGGGACAAAGGTCGTACTTAGTAAACTTTTATCACAATTATAGTCACTAATATTTAGTAAGTACGAGTAATATTTGTCCATGACTTTTTATTAGTAATAGTTAAGGAAAACCCCAAAAAATCTCTAAATAATTATTAAAAACGCAATATGATAAATCAAAGCTGCTATATATTGAAAAATGTCAATATTTAAGAAAAATACCAAGACCCGAATAGGTAATCTATTATTATTAATAAATCAATATATAAAATGCTAAATCTTATTGTATTCGATGAAATCTGAATAATTGACATTACATTTACAGACTAATATTACACTTATACGATAGTATTTGATTTTAAAGCCCAATGTAAAAAAATCGTACATCAAAATCTCATTCAAAAAGATTTGCGTGATATATGAAAGTACCGGTGGGATGAACTCGGGTCGGGATATCTGACCCGGAAGCGACCCGAACCGGTACTGTTATTGCCCGGACTGGTCCCGTACTCGGTTCTGTGCCCGGTTTGGGCCACCCGGCCTGACACTGTAGAGGGGCGGTTCTCTGGCCTCCCAAATCACGAACCGGCCAAGTCGGTTTGGGCCAATTTTTTTTTGTTTTTTGTTTTTCACATTTTTTAAAAGGTCCATTCGTACATGGGTTGGGCTGGTTTTTTTTGGAGGGGTTTGGGGTGTGGGTGGGGGTAGGAAGTAATTATAAAATAAAAATAAAAAAACACATTCGGGTACCCGGCTCGGACCGGTAACCGCCGGGTGAACCGGCTCGATCCGGGCCCGGAGCTACCCAGGCCGGTTTCCGGGCCTCACTTCTCCCAAAAAAAGCCTGGCCCGAACCGGATCCATGCCTAGGTGGGCGTAGCTCAACTGGTAGTGAGAGAGTGGCACAAGGGTTAAGTCTCGGGGTTCAAATCTCGTCAACTGCGATGAGAGGTTACTATGCTAAAATGCATAGGGGCTCTGCAAGTATCGGGAATAGAGCCCCACTATCTATCTATCAGATTGTGATTATAGTCCAATTTACATCATCCCATCTTACCGTCTGGTCGGTGCTGGGAGCCCTTAGAGATGGGAAGTTATCCTTTTTTTTATATTTGAAAGCCAAAGAATCGCATTAAATGAATCAAAATTTTAATGCAAAAAGATAATTGCACTCATATTTGATACTTGGCCCGGAATTTCGGGTGGGGATACCCACCAGAAAATCCACTTGCTAGAGATTAGGGGTGGTTCGGAGAAACGAAAACCGAAAACCAAATCGAAAAAACTCGAACCACAACCAAAACAAATGAATCACAAGAAAACCAAAATCGAACCATAATTATTTGGTTTTGGTTTTCCTATCTCAAAACTGAACCGAACCGAATAAACCAAACTTTTTAAAACTTGTTATTTTATTTATTAATCATTAAATATAATATTTTGCTTAGTTCTTAATTCTTATTTCTAGAAAATTAATGTCTGATACGAGTATTATATTTATTACGATTTGCAAGATATTGACACTTAATATTTATGGTTTAATTAAGTGAAACACTTGTACATACACTTAAGTCTATTGAATCGAACTTTATATTTTGGTTCAACATTTGGTTTTAAGTGAAAACCGAACCGTTTGAACCGAACTCACTCCTACTAGAGATACATATATCAAATCAAACTTTTGCCTTTATTTAATTTCCCAGTAATATTTTTTGCACCTTCCCTCCCCTTTTCGGGTCAAAGGGTAAGGGTGTTTGTTATTAGAAAGTCAAATCAGTTTTACACTTTGAATTGAAACGGTTCGAAGTCGTATTTTTTGAGACGGAAGGAGCATAATTCTATATACAGTATTATACCTCTCCCTCCCTTATAACTTTTCCAACTTTTCTTTTTTGGTTGTCCCAAAAACTTTACCACTTTCCATTTTAATAAATCAATTTGTGCCTCATGTTATTTTTCTCTCCTGCACAAATATATAACACACAGTTTTTACTTTATTATTCTACGTTTCAGTCAAACTTTTAAGAGAGGGAGGGGAGGGAGTAGGAAATTGTGCCATTAGCTCCATCACCTCCATGTGTGTACGATGATTGAGCAGAGTACTTAAGATCGGATCAGATTCATAATTACGAATGGCTTCTTCATCTCCAGCAATAAGCAGCCGGCTTGAAAAGGCGGGGGACAAATACAGGTCCATCCTTGCACATGAATCATCGGAAAACATCCACTGGAGGCACGGCGCTCCTCCCATCTATCACCACGTTAACAAGCTCTTTGAAGATGGCAGAACACAAGTACGTACATATATATACACGATTAAATATATGTATATGCAGCATATATATATAGAGAGAGAGGATCGATCTTTCATATTAGGAGCTCCTTCCTGAGCTCCGGAACCGCCATTTGAGGTTATTTCAGGTGGATTTTTTTATGAAATTTTGTATTGATAATCTTTTGAATTTTAAGTTGAAATTTTATGTGTATGAAAGAACGTTCTCACAAAGTTTCATGAATAAAACCATCACAAACTGCGGCCTCCGCACTGCGATTCCGATCAGGAGCTCCGGACAGGAATGATAATATAAAAGCATTGAAATTTCAGTTGTGGGATTTATTTATTTAATTATTTATTGTGATGGGCGGTGTTAAAGGTATGGGCAAAGGGATCATTGGAAGAGACGGTTCAAAATGCAGTGAAGTCGTGGGAAATGGAGCTTTCTCACAAGACTCGAATCCAAGATTTCAAAACTATTAATCCACACAAATTCAAGCTCTTCGTTAATGGTATGTATGTATGTATCTACGCATTATTTCATACGGATAGTAAAAATATATACTTGTAACAAGTTTAAAATACTCTTTTTATACTAAAATAAAGTCAAAATTATTACTGTTATAGTCGGTTATATAGTACTGGTAATACAATTGTGAAGAATGCAATTAATGGTCAATTTGAACAAACTTTGACTTCAAAAAGCAATCTATGAATTTATCTGCAGGTTGAAGGAGTAGGTAATTTACCATAAGTCCATAACAAAGAAGCATATGGGTGAACATGTTAATTACCACATATTTCTGATTTGATTTGTGATTAATTAAGACATTTATTGAGTTAGTTATTTTGGATAAGTACTTCAATACATATATGGTATACAGGTATTTATTAAACAAATGCTTGCATATGTTTATTATTACGCTTACTAGTTACTACTACTATATGATTAAATTACTACTCCCAAAATGATGGTGTTGTATTTCCTATTTGGGATGTCCCAAAATGATAGTCTTGTTTCATTTTTTGGTAAGAAAATTAAAGTAGATTACCATTTATACCCTTACTTTTTATGAACAGTAAAAGTAAATGAATGAACAATGCAATAAAGTAATGTTATATGAGTCATTCTACCATACTTTCTTAATATTTGAACCCAAAAAGTATAGGTCCATCAATTTGGGACGGAAGGGTATATGGTTAAATTGTAAAAAACCAAAATACATTTTATTTAGGTTTTTTAGATATTTATTACTCCGTATTACTTATTTATTACTTTTCCGTAACATTCGTATTCTCTCACTTTCTTTTTTTGGTTGTAAATTCATATCTTCTCATTTCTAAATCTCCTCGTCACACACTCAATATTTTTGAAAATAATGTTTCCTCCGTCCCACTAACAATGAGACAAGAGGAGTGACACAAAAATAAATTAAAAGTGGTTTATGTGGTTGATATTGAATTGATAAAGTGAGAATAAAGTAAGAATTATTTAGAGCCACACAAACTTTACCAAATGGGGTATGACACAATGTTAGTGGGACGGATCGAAAAGATAAAATGAGACAATCTTAACGAGTCGGAGGAAGTACACTATCACAACTACTTTTTTGAACTTATCCTTCATTCCAACGCACTATTTCATTATTTTCTCATCATACCATCAATCACATTTCACTATTCTTAATCTCATCTACTTTTAAACAGGAAGATATAAATGTTACGGAGATAGTACAAAATATACATATTTTTATGGGGAAAATCATTTAAATACCCCAAACTTTAATTGAACATGAGTGTGTATTTCAAAGACTTGCATATGTAATATATATAGTTCGAGCTTTATATAAAAAGTTATTTTCACACCATGATTATACTAGTATGTTTTTTTACAAATACAAATGTATTGGGATAATTATATAATTCAAAATACCTTAGGCCTTGTTAGAATGCAATTAACATTCTAAAATTTCATTTGTGAAATAAATCATATTACATCTGGTACAATTTTATTTTAATTACATCCTCATGAATGTTTTGTGTACTTAAAATTATGTAAACAACACCATAAAGTTAGATGTATTAAAAAATATATGGTCATATCGCTAACATAACTTTTTATATAAAATTTGGATCATATATTAATGTGCAAGTTTGGAGTACTTATGTCACACTCATTCAAAATTTGGGATATTTAAATTATTTTCTCCTATTTTGATCTTACTTTGCAATTTTTCATATTTTTCAACCATTTCCCCTGTACTTCCTTTCTAAAATGTTTACCATATTGTCAAAATCTTCAGTTTTTTTTATTTATCTAAAGAACATTTTCACCTTAGTTTTATTGACCTCGTACTTCGCTTTAATGTTCCTTTGTCTAAAAATCTAGTGAGTATAAACGGTCGGCAATAAGTTGTGGTAGATACAGTGCATGGCGTGATGACTTAGTCTTGACCATACATTTGTCTCCTGGCGGATAGTGAAGGCAAAACACCACACGTGCCACATAATTAAACACGTACGTGGCAGACAGTTTAACACAGAATATTGGATTAAAGTGATTATATTGAATGATTGTGTTGATTTATAAAAAATTATATTTAGAATATACTCTTATTTCATAAATAAAATAAAATTATTTGAGAAATAGTTAAAATGATTTTCTAAGATAACTTCAGTGTGAAATAAAAAATTACGTGTTTAGTAAAAAAATTGACTTATAAAGTTGATAAGTCAAAAAAACTTGATCACCCTTATATAATTTGAGTTGCCCCCATTTTAAATTTTATAAACATCCCTTCGAACACTTTTAATAGAATGAATTGTGTAATACTAATAACAATTATCAAGATTGAAGTCATTTTTCGACTAAATTGGTTTACTTGACTGAAGATGGCTATTTTAACTATCTTGTCACATAATTTGTTTTTAAATATTTCAAAAATATTTTTTTATTATTCAGCCATAATTTTCACATATTCAACCAATTTTAATGTGTTACTAAATGTGTAGTTCATAATTAGCCTTTCTATATTAATATCGGGCCGGATGATTTGGAACAGTTCAGATTGTCGCAAACAAAAAGAATTGTCACTTATATGTAAAAAGTGGTGACATTTGGAGGATATTTTTAATTGGGTTGGAATTTTCAGGTTTAGTCTGATCCAGTCCGAACTAGTGTGATATGATCTGATAATGTCTGATTTTTGTATATTTTATAACAATCCAAATATACAACTGACATTTTTAATGTTTGATCGCAAAACATTAAAACTGACATTTTTAGAACTGATTAAAGTTAATGAGTGGTTATGTATTCTACAAAGTTAACATCTAGCAAAAGTCTGCACTAATTTGACCAAGAATAATTTAAAATCGAAAGAAAGCAAGTCGTGGAATAATTTATTGAAACTAATGTGATCTATTAGTAAGAAAGTCATACATGTAAATATTTATAGAGCGAGAGGAATTTAGACTAGAAGATGGGGCATTTTGTGAAGTACTAGTATTACTTTCCAAATTAATTATTGAGCTTGAAAAATAATACTATGCCTTTTAACTTGGATTACAATATAATTGAACATATGCAAAAGGACATGCAACGAATAAAATTCTCTTAAATGAATAGTGCCATATTTTCTTAAGCTTGAAAAATAATACGGAGTACTGCCTTATAATTGTTCAAGCGCGTCAGCGGGCCAGCGGCATGAAACGAATAAAATTCTCTTAAATGAATACTCCCTTCCAATTTGTTTTGGAAAGTCAATATTTTTTGATCTACCAATAATAAAAGTCAACCCTTCGTATGGATAATTAATTCAATTTTTAATAATTAAAATTTACATATTCATAAACTACATTAAAATATCTTCAAAGTTGTAAACTCTAAATTTGAACATAATTAAAAATTGACATCCAAATTAAGTTAACAAAATGAGACTGTTTAACTAAGAAAAGTCAAATTTGTATCTCTTTTTGGGACTAGTAGTACCATATTTTGCCTATTACGAAGTACTACGTGTTTTTTACTATTGAAATCTACTAAAGCAAATTGAAGATGAAAAAGTCGATGTGATTGAATTGACTAAGAGCCCTTTGATAGTACATTTTTTAGGCTTATCCCATTATAATCAACTTTTTCATCAAACACGTAATTTTTGATTTCGTACGTTGAATTACTTAATATTAAGAAAAAGTAAGGTTGAAGTTACATTTCTGGCTATATTGGTTGAAGTTACTGTAGAGGACTATTTTAGCTATTTTTACATACTCCCTCCGTCCCATTGGACTTTGTCATCTTTCCTTTTTTGGTTGTCCCAAAAACTTTGACACTTTCTCATTAAAGTAATTATTTTGTTGTTCTACTCATTTCTCCCTTCTTTGCACAAGCTTCAACCACACAATTTTAATTATTCTTATTTCTCACCTAACTTAAAGAGTGCAAAGTCCATTGGGACGAAGGTAATATAATTTTTTCTTAATTTTATTAATAAAATATATTTTAAATATTACTCCGTATTTTCTAAGAAATCAACAGAATCAACCATTTAAACCACAACTTCATAAATTTCAGCAGAATCAGTCGATTTAGCCGATTTTTATAGTACCAAACAGGCTCTAATTCTTCTGAAACTTATGAAATTATGGATAAAGTGGCTGAATTGGCCACTTATGGTGGTTTATGTAAAAATAATATTTAAAATAAGTAGTATATTTTATTAATAGAATAAAGAAAAAATTATATGAAAATAATTGAAATGATCTTCTACAGTAACTTTAGTCAATACAGTTAGAAAAGTAACCTTAATCTTACATTTTCTTATTATTACATTATTCAGCGCGCGAAATGAAAAGTTGCGTATTTAGTGAAAATATTGACTAATAAACCTAATAAGTATTACGAAACGGTCTCTAAATAAAGGACCGAGAATCAAAAGTTGATTGTCAACTGCACATAGATAAATCAGTTAAAAATGAAGTACTCAACATTTTTGTTTTTACATATATTTTGATATATGTGTTGTTTATGTTATTAAAATATGCAAATTACCTAATTATAAGTAATTCTTATTTGGTAAATTTCCCTAAAAGTAGTTAAAATAGTGTAAAATTCGAAAATTGTAATCATACTGTCATTAGGCATTGACATGATGTCAATGTTACAATTGGACCAACTGGAATCAATTACTCCTATTAAAAAGAAATACAAGGCATTTTTTATTCTTGCGATAAAGTATCACCACATACATGTCCACATACACTATTACACCGATGACTGATGCACTCATGAAATAAACAGGGCCTTTCACTTAGGGACTGTTTACTTTTTTTCTCATTAAATTCTGAATGGATTAAGATGTCTGTCTGCATTAAGCTGTCTGTCTGAAATAAGTTACACTGAGATAACAAGCTGTTTACTAAGTGCGCTGAATGAGAAGTCTGAATCATGTCTAATTACCAAATAACCCTCCTGTCTGTAACTAGTGCTGAATGTATATTGTCTGTTTATTTTCTTTGTTATGAAAGATAAAATTTATATATCAGAAAATACTAATACTATGAATTACTTAAATAAAAGAGTCATATTGCATGATAAAACAAGGTCTCCTCCATATTTTTTTTGGATAAAATGTAAATATATATATCCAAAGTGTTTATGTACATAGTATGAGCAAAAACAAAAAATGTATGCAATCCAATAAAGGATGCTCTACACCATCGCTATGCTAACCAACTATCTAGGTTAGCTATACACCCCAAAAATCAACCATCTAGTCGTGACAAAAATTGGGTGAAAACAGTCCCATAGGCATCAAAAGTTTATCATATTAGCCGGATACATCAAGTAAAGCACTTTGTACACCATGCACTTAATTTGCGTCAAAATGTCCTCCATATTAGGTGTAGCTCCATCAAAGCGGATAGCATTCCTTATCCTCCACACCCAATAAACTGTATGGGAAAGTGAGATTCTAATAGCTTTGGCCTTGATGTGCGCTCCTTTATGATCTTCCTTGATCCACTTTATAGCACTCTTCAAAGTCGTCATTTGTCTTGTAATTCCTAGCCATGTTTTGATCTTGTTCCATATCTGCCATGTAAAGTTACATCCAAAAAATAGGTGTGGAACCGTCTTCAGGCCACCCTTACAAAAATGACATAGGTTAATCGTATCAATAAACCCCAAATTATCCGAAGTAGGTAGCCTATTTCTCAAGGCTAGCCACATGATGAAGGAGAATTTGGGGGGATATAAGACTTCCAAATAAAAGATATACATGCCTTAGTTGCAGATTTAATTCTAAGTAAGTCATACACTTTGGCCGAAGGGAGTCTCCCATTAAAGGAGTTCTTGGTTAAGAACTGTAAGGCCAAATCTAGTGATGCAAACTTTGAAACAATAGTCCCTAATAAAAGCCAACCTTTTCATCAATCGGGAGTCCCTAGTGTGTGGAACAAAAGTCACACATCCCTCTCATGGAGCTAAACGCCATGCACCCATTGGACCCACAAGGTATCTTGCTTTTTATGTATATTCCATAAGGTTCTAGAAAGGAGAGCATCATTCCATATACGTGCATTCTTAATACTCAGCCCCTCTTCCTCCTTTGGTAAACAAGCATCCTCCCATGCAACTTTGGCATATTCCCCCCCCCCCCCCCTCTCCCAAGGAAAATACGACAAAGGGCAACAATTCTATCAAGTATTGTTCTAGGAACCGGGAAGATCCCCAACCAGAAGGACTGAACTCCTTGCATAACTGACCTAATCAACTCAAGTTTCCCAACATAGGATATTGTTTTGGTGTTTCGAGCATTAATAAAGTCAGTGACCGTATCTTTAAGTGGAGAGAATTGAGCCACTGAAATTTTTAAAGGAGCCAAAGGAATACCCAAGTATCTAACTGGAAAAGATCCTTGTTGAAAGTCAACTAATTCAAGGATTCTTGGCAGTGCATTGGCCACATTTCCCCCCAAAAATATATTAGATTTATCATGGTTAACCATCAATCCAGATTTTCTTCCAAAATCATGCAGGGCCTCGGCCAAAATTTTAATGGATTTACAATCCCCTTTAGAAAACAAAACAAGATCATCTGCATATGCAAGATGTGTAATCTTTAGTTGTGAGCACAATGGATGGGTAGTTAAACGTAGGATTTGATGTCCTAAGCACTAGCATCCGAGAGAAGTACTCCAAACAAATCACAAATAACAAAGGAGACATAGGATCCCCTTGTCTTAGACCCCTTTTCCCCTCAAACCAGCCATGAAGAGTTCCATTAATGGAGATCGAAAAGGATGAGGTTGTGACACGCTCCATAATCCAATTAACGAAGAGTGTTGGTATCCCAATGTCTCTAAGTACATTTTCTAAAAAATCCCAAGAAACCGTATCATATGTCTTTCTAAGATCCACTTTTATCATACATCTAGGTGTAACCCTTTTCCTAGTATATTCTTTCACTAATTTTTGTGCAAGGAAAATGTTATCGGCCATCAGTCTACCATCAACAAAAGCACCTTGTGAAGGATGTACAATACTAGGAAGGAAAGGGCTCAACCTAGATGATAATATCTTAGTAATGACCTTATAAGTAACATTAGTACAAGAAATTGGTCTAAAGTCAGAAACAGTGGGGGAGTGATTGGTTTTAGGGATCAATGCTACCACAGAATGGTTAACCTGTCTAAGCATAGTCCTAGAGTCAAAAAACTCCCTCAGAGCTGAACAAAAATCATCACCAACTTGTCCCCAATTTGCTTTGAAGAAAGCTGATGAGTACCCATCCGGTCCAGGTGCTTTGTCACTCCCAATGTCAAACAAAGATTGCTTGATTTCCAAATCAGTAACCGGACTAATAAGGTCATCCACTTTGGTTTGATCAATGGTCACACCCGAGGTGATGACAGTAGGATCATACTCAACCGAGGGCACATTTGTGCCAAATAACCCCTCGAAGAATGCAACAAATTCTTTTGCTACGTGATCCATAGATTTGGTGAGACTTCCACCCTCTAATCTTAGGGAAGCGATAGTATTTTTTGCATTCTTCTTTTTGACAATGGAATGAAAATACTTTGTACATCTATCAGATTGAATCAAATTGACAGCCTTGGCATTCTGTTTAAGGTAGGCTTCCTCAGCTTCCTTAAGGAAAAGAGATACCTTTTTTGCCTCCTGGAGTTGCTGTTTTAAGGCATCATCTAAAGGGGATACAAGAGCTAATTGATAGATCCTATTATATTCCTTTTTGGATTCCTTTGCCCTTGGTGTAATACAGCTGAATTCATTAGTGTTTAGTTGTTTAAGAGGTTGCTTTAACAACTTCAATTTCGAGCAAGTCTAAACTGGGCTGTTCCAACAACATTCCTACACCAAACACTTTCCAAGATCTCTTTAAAACTATCATGTTTCATCCACATATTAAAGAACTTAAATGGTTTTGAACCCACATGGATTTGCTGCCCTATTCTAACAAGAACAGCCACATGATCAAACTCAGGCTCCATTTCAAAGAAGTGAGCTTGACATGCTATGTTCTGCACACTCCAAAAAACATTTATTAAAGCCCTATCCAATTTAGCCCAAATGGACCCCCTATTCCATGTGAAAAATTCACCCATGGAGGGAGCATCCATCAAGTTCGATTGGATTTTGAACTCATTTAGATCCTTCATGAGATAACCCGAGGGGGGGCAGACCCTCTTCTCTCATTAGGATGACCAACACAATTAAAATCCCCCACAATTACCCAAGGAGCAAGAGTATTTTTCCCTATACCAGTTATGTGTTGCCAAAGCTCTCTCCTTTCTATCACCGTGTACAAAGCATATACAAATGAGACATAGATAGTGATTTGGGTTACTCTACATGTGAACCGGGCGTGAATATGTTGTTTATTCACCTCCATAATCACCCCATCTACATAAGAGGAATCCCAAATTATAGCTATCCTTCCTCCCTCAATATAGTCAAAATTTGTTTGTGACATCCAATTTGGAAGTCTAAAGTGCATAAAGTTATCAAATGAAGAAGTAGACATCTTGGTTTCTAGTAAGCAAAAAAGTTGTACCTTATTAAGCCGTATGAAATTAAGAATAGAGTTTTGTTTTGAGTCTTGATTCAGCCCCCTTACATTCCATGAAGCTATAAACATTAAAAATGTTTATCCTCCCTCCTCCTCTTGGAAAGCTTGTTCCTTTCCCTTTCTATTTGCACCCACTCTCGGTAGTTTTCGCAACCTTTGTACCTGTCAAGGAAAAGGGGATACACTTTATGCATAAAAAGAGGTGAAAAGTCATACCCTTCATCCGTTCGGGCAGCCCCCAGGAGAGAATCCAAGCAAGCACTTGTGAATGTTATTCCATCCCTCCTTCCATGGCCGTCAATGTCAAGATGGTTGTCAATTCTTGTCATCATCTCTTCTACATGCTCTACATTCTTCAAGTGTAGCTTGTATTCCCCGCTTTCCTCAAATTCCACCTTGGTGACCACCTCATCCGTATAAGCCTCTCTCACGTCATCTACCACCCTTGTAGTCTTCTTTTTAACCATTTTAGGATGCATGACCTTGCTGCCGTTGCCCATGGGATGGCCATCCTCAAAATATATATCAATAAAATGTCTATACACACATGCCTTTGTAAACCAAATGCCCGGTTCATTTTCATCAACTTTCTGTAGAAAATGGTTTATTCGAATAGTAGGCACCTTTACATCATCAAGATGTTTAACTTCTATAGTAGGAATACGAGCCTCCTCCGCAAGCATGGTCACTATTACTTCGTCATTGAAAATGTCTCCAAATGTTTTTATAACCCTCGGGTCCCCCTCCTCTTCTTCCTCTTCTTTTTTAGACTCATACCCAGACGATATCTCACCCTCTTCATTATGTTTCCTCTTTGATTTCCTTTTTTTATTTAGCCTTACCATCTTAAGAAATGGATGATAGTCCTTCTTCCTTTTCACAATCTCCTTGCTTGCCTCGGCTATAGGACATGTCGCGGCTTTGGTGTGTGTCTCTTTTAATGCCGCGACATTAGATTCTTCCCCATGTGGCCTGGCCGTGGCCTTCCCTTTGCCTTCTTCCAAGATAGGTTGCTTTCCTCCTTCTCCCTTTTCTTTCATCTTTTCATCTCTCTCTTTTTGCTCCAAATCGGCTATAACCTTGCACGTGAATGCATGGTGGCCATAGGCCTTACAATGGAAACAATAGTTAGGATATGTTTCGTAAATCACCTTTTTGGTTATGGAACTTTTGATTCAGCATCTTTACTTTCACTTTGAGAGGAGGGGGCTTGGATGCATCCACCTCAATGAGTACCCTTGCAAAATTTGATCTTGCTTTTTCTTGGGTAATTCTATCGGTTGTCAAACGGTTACCCACCTGTGATGCTATCTCGCTTATAATATCTTCATTCCACGATTGCAATGGAAGAAATGGGAACTTCAGCCATATGTGAACTTTCAAGAACTCATCACAATTGAATGAGAAGTCTTCCGAAAGAGTTTTTAGGTAAAGGGACTTACCAAAGAGAGAGTAAGACCCTTCCATAATAACCTTGGATCTATCTTCTTCACTCTTGAACCTAAAAAAAACCATCCTCTGTCATGTTGTCTAACATTACATTGCACATCCCATTTTGCCACAAGTTCATTGATAGGTTTTAATCCGGGAAATCTGCCCGCAAAGTAACCCACCAAGCAAAACCCCCAAATTTCAACAATAGAGGGCATCTTCCTATTAGATAGGTCCACAAAGTCACCCACGGGTTCAATGAACTTAAATTTCATGCCTTTGCTTGGTTCCCTATTATCCTTGAACAAGGATGTCCAAGGAGATTTCCAAACATTTGTTTTACCCCTTCATGGTCATCAACATCAATAGGCTCACTTCTAGGTTCCTTCGTTACCACTATATTTTCAACAATGGTAGAGGCAGCCCCTTTGTCCTTCACAATAGATACATCATCTTTCAAAATAGGTTGATCAATTTGTGAGTTTACCTCTTTGATAGTCTCGGTTACATCTTGGGTCCTTGGAGATTTCTCTCCCTCCTCATGCGGTTTTGTCCCTTCCTTGATGGTAGGAGACTCTTCCTCAACAGCCTTGGTTCCTTCCTCCACCCTCTTGCTCTCGGGTTGATTTTCCTCCATAGGAGTGGGAGTGGTAAGTTTACTCCCCTCCTCCTCCTTTGCCTTGATAGCTTGAATCCTCAAAGATGACTTCTTCCCGAGAGGAGTACCTTTGAGTTTTGAGCTTCGGTTCTTGACATTCCCCATCGGTGAAGATGATGAAGAGTATCCCAAAAATAGTATGAGCTCGGATGATGATGAAACCGGTGTCTAAGGGTGTGCCTAGAGATGGCGACCCCCAAACATACCTTAGAATCACGTTGCCCCCCTCGGATTTGAGTAGATCTTGTACTTTCCAAAAGTCAACTATGAATAGTGTATTTTGAGCTAAGAACGTAAGTCGTGTAAGGCAGCAATGGATGAAGATGAAACTCAGGATATAAGCTCCCACACCGAGATGATGAAGCCCCAAGAAAATCTCCAAAATCCACCGAGCCGTTTAGGAGCTAAGAACAAAAATTTCCGTCAAGTGAATAGTAGATGTGCGCTGTTTTTTACGGTTGTTTTGTGGAGAAGAAGAATGGATATCCAAGATATTACACCCCAAAGAAGATGGAAGGGTAATATAGAAGATATACAAACTTCGGTGGTGGAGGTGGTGGTGGTTTGCGGTGGTGGAGTGGTGGAGAACGGTCGTGAGAGAGCAAAGATGACTGTTGGCCTCTTTGGAGAGAAAGCTCTCAACTCTCACTAGAATTCTCGATGGCGCTCCATGTAAAAACATTATAAGTGTACGAGGGTTAAAACAAGTCCAAGTGTACTGTTGAGAGAAGGCAACATTATAAGCTCTCAACTCTCACTAGAATTCTCGATGGCTCTCAACTCTTGGGCGGCAGTAGAATCTGAGATTATCGAAGAAGAAGTTTAGAGAAGGCAACGAGGGTTAAAAAAGAAAGAGGCGTCTGAACCGTTGTTCGGATAGTAAGGAGTATTGAATTTGGCCTGAACCATTAAGTTAAAAATGGTCTGAGCGAATAAGTCATGTTTTCAAATAAGTCCTAAGTAAACAAGAATATATGGCTGACCGAATAAGTCATTGTTTCCATTCAGACCATTAAGTCGAAAGTAAACAGCCCCTTACACACCTATAAATACGAGAATGAAGGGCCTATATTTGTGTAATAGATTTCTTAGCTTTATTTGACCCGTTTTGTGAAATAAAAAAACTTATTTATTAATGATAAAAGTAATAAGAAATAAAGCAATACAATAGCTTAATGTTACATTGGAATGAGACATAACATTGAGTTTCTCCCAATGACCAATCAAATTCGCTAATCTTTCATTTATGTAGTCTAATACGGAGTATAAGAACACTACTAAACTTGCTATTTAAATAAGAATTAACAGAAAACCAATTGCACGTTAAAGAAAAGCAGTTTGACTGCTCCAAAGAAATCATCTCGTTCTCGTACTTTGTTAGAATTTAGGCAGATATTACCCCAAGTCCTCACCAAGTATGTACTACACATCTTTTCTAATATGTACTACACATCTTTTGTAAAATTTTGAGTTAATTCTGTTGGTCCCGGTTATACTGGATACAGTCTAGAGGGGGGGGGGGGGGGTGAATAGACTGTATTGGATTTTTAGCTTTTTTAAACTAAGTACCAGATTTTACAGAATAACCTGTTCTGTTGACAGAACAGACTGGCAGCGGATGGGGTTCTGGTAGGGAGTTCTGTTGATTTAGCCTCAGAGAAGCAAAGGCAGTAGGCCTTCTGTTAACTCGTAGGACAAGTTCTGCTGAACACAGATACCAAGTCTAAGGAGTTAGACAGTTCTATCTAAGTGCAAATATTAAAGCAGTAAGTAAATGACACCAGGGATTTTTATAGTGGTTCAAGGAACAACTTGTTCCTCTAATCCACTGTTCCACTAAGCTTGTAAAAACGATCGTTTACAACGCCTTAGTCCTAGCACTTAAGAAGCTCTCCACGTCTTCTTCAAGCCTAGATGTCTCCTGGGATGCACTGCCTGGCTTCCTTTAAGACTGGTCCTTTCACTGAGCTTCCTGGAAGTATCACCACTTCACTACTCCAGTTACTTGGACGTCCTTCTTGTAGCAAGAAGAGTTTCTGTTGAAACAGGGGTTCCTCCAACTAGCTTCGTTACAAAGGATTTGTATGTGATGAGCTTGAAGAGTTGAAGAACACTTGGAACTTTGCTTGAGTTGGAAAAAGTATTTTTCCAACTTCTGCCTTCTCTTGTAGAGGATGATGAAGTGTTAATCTCAAGGAGGCTTTTTGCTTTTCAGAGTTTGAATTTCTTGTATGAAGAGTTGTAGCAATGGTTAGCAAAAATTGCAAAGTCATTCGGTTGTTCTTCGTAGTGTATCTTTTATACTGAGGTTGTCTTCCCGTTGGAGGAGTAGGAGGACAACTGCATTAAATGAGCGATCAATTGACTTGACCAGTAGAGCCCGGTAAAGTTGGCGGGTTACTATTTTGGGATAAAGTAATCCTGACATTGCGGCCAATCATCTGCAATTACTCTACGGAGCATGGGGAGCATTAAATGAGCATTTAATGCGTGCACTGTAGCTTTTCCGTTCAATACTCCTAGCCGTTGAAGGAATCTTTCAGTTGACTTCCCGGCTTAGTGGAATTCTTCTAAGTGTCAGACCTTCTGGTGTCTTTGACTGAGAGTTGAACAGAGGAGGTCTGGTGCACTTCTGTTGGAAATATATCCAACAGAGACCCAGAAGGTTTTGTCAGAGTAAAGGCTAACAGAGACCCTGAGGTCTTCTGTTCTGGAGCAGAGAACCAAAGGTCCTCTGTTTCAATAAAGCCTTATAAGGGTCTTCTGCTCTTGGAGCCCTTCTGCTCAGAAGGTCTTCTGCTCTGAAGGTAATCTGCCAGGTCGATTACACTAAGAACTTTACAAATGAAAATTCTAATACATTAAGTCTAAATAGGGGTACTCTAAAGTCCTAATTGATCTAGCATCATCAAAATCTAAATACAAATATTCCTTACAATTTCCCCCTTTTTGATGATGCCAAAACCCTTTAACTATTTCCAGAGAAGTGCCTTCACCATAAAGAAAGATTAAAGTTTAAAAACTTCCATTAAAATCTTGGTGGGCAACTTGGCATAGGAAAATAGTAAGAGTACAGTACATTCAGATTGCAGAATATAAATGAAACAAGCAAACACAAACAGAAGGAAAAAAGACAGGAAATGAGGAAAAGCTCTTCAAAGTGAGAAGGCAGAGATGTGATTTTATTAGATAAGATTTTACAGAGAAAATCCTTACACATTCTCCAAATTAGCTGCTTGCAGAGCTTCTTCTTCCAATCTTTGAAGCCTGAGCAGTTCTTCATTGATTTCTGCTCTGATTTTGGAAAGGTTGCCAGAGCTTTGATAAGATGCCCATATGGGAGAAAGCTTGCAGTCCAGATAGCTGAGAACACCTTCATGTATTGTCTTGCCTGGGACAATATTCTTCTTATACCATTCTTCAGCTTCTTCTAAGGATCCCCCATACCTGACTCGCACAACCCCATCTTTATCCAAATAGAGGTTCTGTTGTTGGGTGGGAGTCATTTTGGCCTTCATATCTTCAAATTGAGCTCTGTCAATTCTCTGAGATCCACCCAATCTCCATTCAGTGAAGTTAAATACTTTCTTCTTCTTGGTGCCTTTCTTTACTGGAGATGGGGGTCTAGGTATACCTGCTGCTCTCTTCTTCTGTAGGGCAGCTTCAAAGTAGGGAGCAGGATCCACTGTGGGCTCAGCAGAGGAGGGTGCCCTAGCAGGAGTTCTGTGGGATCGAGGCCTAGTCTGTTGAGGGTCCTCTTCCCCCTTTTTGGCATCATGCAGATCCTCTATCATCAAACTTATCTTTTGGAACTCTGAGGCCTGAGTGGAGGCTATCTGCTCAAGGGCCTCTGGTAGAGTCTCAGTGACAGAGGTAAGGCCTTCAATGAGACCTTGTTGCTTCTGAATGGCAGAGAAGATGTCCTTGTTGTTGGCTTCAAGCAGCACCATCTTTTGATATCTGTCTCTGTCAATAGATAGGAGAAGTTGAGCTTGTGCTTGGTGAGCTCTGCACATTTCCTCAATGGAGGTCAGTTGCCTCCCAGTGCTGGCATCAGATTTCTTCAGAGCCTCAACATTCTCTGAGATAGAGTTGATTGCATGTCCTTGATCTAGGAGAGTCTGTTGAAAGATAGAGAGGGTTTTGTGGATACCTACCACTTCTGTTGACAGTGCATCTGTTCTGGCAGAGGAGGAGGCTATGAAGTTGTTGAGTGTTCCTGTGAGGTTCTCAAAACGATCAGATATGAACTGCATTCCCGAATTGAGATTATCATTCACATGAGCAAGGTGCCCATAGTGTTTATCATTGATCTGTATCAACTTGTCCATGCCCTGGAGGATTTGTCCACCAAAGTCCTTTGCTGATTCAACAAAGTTGTTGAAGGGAATGTTATTATGTTGTCCATCAGATGGAGGCATCTCTAGACCTCTTCCCTTAGGCAAGGGGTGATGTTCTTGGACAGAGGAGAGAGATTCAACAAGAAGTTCATGTTCCAGTTGAGTCAGAGGAGGGGTCTTCTGTCTCTTTGATGTGGCTTTGTAGGATTTGCTGATCATGAATCCATCCATGTCAGACGAATCTTCATAAGAGGAATAGATTGGTATTCTTTTTCTGACTACCTTCTTCTTCTTTCTGAGGGAGGGATTGGCGGCAGTAGAGTGCCTAGAATACCCTTGTGGTGCAGAGATGGGGGATATAGTTGTAGGGTCAGAATCTCTGAGAAACCATACAGGTTTAAGCTTCTCTGCAGGTTGGTGTGGAGGAGGTGATTCTGATGGAGGGGTTTGATGTTCAGACTCGGAAGAAGAAGAGGATTTCTGTTGGGATGAGGGGTTCTGATGCTGAGGTGAAGTTTGAAGAGGTGAGGCATTCTGTTGAGGAGGGAATGGTGGAGGTGAAGGTGAGCGGTTTCTGAAGGGAACAATTGCTCTACAAGGTGATGCAATTTTCTGTTTGGGTGATTGAGGAGGGGTGGGGGTTTTCTGTTCAGGAGATTTAGGTTGAGGGTTTTCTGGTGGAGGGTTTCTATGCTGGTGGGAGGTGAGGGAATATGGGGTTCTGTTGAGATATTAACAGAAGGGGTTGGAGAGTTTACCTCAATGATGTTATCCTCAAGCAAAGAAGTCCTCCACTCCTTGATATGCTCCATCATAGCTTGCCCTTCTGTCTTGGGTACAGAGGGCTCTCTTGGGTTGAAGTTGGGTTGCACAGAGTCAGTTGCCATCTTGGTAAACAGCCATTCTTCAAAGGCTTCTATTTCTCCATCTTCTAGAGGTTTGACTATCTCCTCTGAGGGTGAAGAGATGAGGACAACCTTTCCTTTGTAGCTTGCCTTCTTCTTTTCAAGAACATAATGAAGAAAGTTGAGGGCAAAGCATTTTGAGACATCATCAGTCCCAACCCAATTCAGGATGGCTTCTTCTTCTGGCTCATAGTGATCAAAATATTGGATTATTTTGTGGAGGGGTCCCATTCTCCATCTTCTCCATTCAAGAAACCGGGTAAACTGTCTGTCTAGCAAGGACAGATACCCATCTTTGACAGGACTGGGGTGCTCTGTTGGAGTTGACACCCTATTCTGGTCAGGAGATGCAGCAGAGGTGGGGATCTCTGGTTCCCCTTGAGTGTCTGCCACTT